CCCCATGCAGGGCTGGAGGTCTTTGCACAACTCCAAACCCCACCAAAATTGCCTTTAAATAGCCAAAAATAGTGTGTATCACCCCCCCCTTCTGCCAGCACCCTGCCTCTCCCCGAAACCACCGCTTTGCTGCAAGCCACAGCACAAATCCCTTAATTAGGGGGTTCGTTAGGAACCGGCCCCGCAAAATGCCACCGGCGGAGCAAGCGGGACGGCAGCCAGGGTGGTCCAAGGGGGCTGGCAATCACCTTTCTTCTCCAACACCCCGAAACTCCCCTGCCCGCTCTGCCACGGTCTGGCCGAACCCTTTCTGCTGACCCCATGGCTCAGCCTCTCCCACGTGCCCCAGCTCCTGCCTCCTCCTCCTCCTCCTCCTCCTCCTCCTCTTCCTCCTCCTCCGGGGAGAGGCAGGGAAGTAGGGAGGAGGACCCATCTGCACCTCCCCGCCGGCGCACCGCAGCGTGCCGGGGCAGAGCCGCGTGTGAGCCAGGAGCACCATGGCTGAGCGGCTGTCGGAGGAGAAGATCGCCGAATTCAAGGAGGCTTTTTCCCTTTTCGACCGGGATGGAGACGGTTGCATCACCACAAAGGAGTTGGGCACCGTCATGCGCTCATTGGGGCAAAACCCCACCGAAGCGGAGCTGCAGGACATGGTGGGGGAGGTGGATGCCGATGGCAGCGGCACCATCGATTTCCCCGAGTTCCTCTCGCTGATGGCAAGGAAGATGAGGGACACGGACAGCGAGGAGGAGATCCGCGAGGCTTTCCGCGTCTTTGATAAGGACGGCAACGGCTACATCAGCGCGGCAGAGCTGCGGCACGTCATGACCAACCTGGGCGAGAAGTTGACGGACGAGGAGGTGGATGAGATGATCAAGGAGGCCGACTGCAACAACGATGGCCAGGTCAACTATGAGGAGTTCGTGAGGATGATGACGGAGAAGTGAGCCCCCCACCACCCTTCTCCAACCCCAACCCACAGGTAACTCGTTGGGATGCGGCTTCGTGCCCAACCCCACGTGCACAGAAAGTCCCGGACTAAAGGGTCCACCCCACCCATTGCAACCCCAAACCGTGCATCTCCCCCATCCCAACCACCTCCTGCCCTGCAAGTCTTGCTGGCGGTTGGAAAAATCGATGTTCATGGTGCTTTTTTTTAATTTTTCCTTAATTTCTTCATAGGGATCAGAGGTCGTGGTGGTCCCCCAGCCCTTCCATCCCCTTCCGCCTTCTCTCCACCATCCCAGGCTGGAGAATCCTCTTTTATCCCAACTGGAGCATCCCCAGCCAGTGTTTACATCGGATGTGGGCATGTCACCTGGCAGGATGGGGCTCAGGGTGCAGACAGACATGGGGGGGGGTCCCTCCCCATGACCCCCCACGAGATGCACCTCTCGTGTCCATAGAGGTGCCGGTGAGCACCGTACGTCCCTTGTCACCGCGCCGAGTTCAATAAAGAAATGTCCCCCCATGGCTGCCAGTGCTTCCTTCAGCTTCTCTTTGGGGTCCCTGTTGAAAAACAACCCCCCCCAAATCACCGATATCGGTGCACCCCAGCC